GGTAGCTGCTAGGTTCACTTAACTCTAGAAAGAAAAGTTATTATCAAAATTATGCCAAATGTGATTTACAAATTTTTTGTGTCAATGTTGGCTGCTTATATATTGTTTAATAAGGGCGGAGCCAAAGAAGGGACATGAACATAGGTCGCATCGCTGATTCCCATATTTATGAAAGGTAAAGACGTGAGTCGCTATTGCACTCTCGGATTTTTCTTTGATAAAATTTTATGTATCGGTCTGTCATTATTAGGTCCGATTTTCTATTAATAAGAATATCTAACAATGGGAGATCGAGATAGAGATAGACTGATAGCTTCTAGTACAATGGAAAAACGTATGGTTTGGTGTGGTTAAGAAAATATCAGAGGGATTGTTGCCTATGAGGCCAAATAACAAAGTTATCATCATAAATATATTAGCGATGATTGGTTCTCTGATTTGAATGTATTTGAAATAATGTTGAGAGTTCCAGGAATGCTTTATTAAAGAGAGACTCTACGTCGAAACTATTCAGAATGTTGTTTGAAAATGATGTAACGGTTTTTAATTGTTCAATGGAGTGAATTAAGTAAAAAAAAAATATCAGTTTTACCTACATGGGTGATTCTGTTTTAACTGTGATTTTTTAGGTCTTATATTGTTTGTTCTTACTGGTGATTGATTAATAATGAAATTTTTGTATTAATTGGATGATCGTGCACATATTTCATTATATTTTTTATACTTTATGCAATTTGTCATTCAGAGGGAATCCACAATATATCAGGTAAATGTCATGTTCACTTCTAAAATTTATCATAAATTCTTAATTTTTTTTTGTCACGGTAAATGATACAAACTAATTACGTCCTAACTTCTTACCAAACTAAAAAAAAATCACACTTTTTTTGTTAATGTTTTAACTTAATATTGAATTTCGGTTCAATAACTTTTGTCTTCAAAATATAATGAATTTTTGAATTTGAATTTATATGACTCGAGTGCCATCTACCTTGAGATTTATGAAACGTCTTGACGCTTTGAAGTTGTAGTAAAATCCTTTCAGGCTTTTATTTTTGCAGTAAAATAAATAAATAATATTCATCGACAAATTTAATACTTATAATTTTAAAATCTTAGAAATTTTAAGCTAAAAAGCAACAACCCAGATATTTTGCCAGACAATATGCTGGTTTGTGAATTTTAAGGAGTCCGTAGAAACGAGAAGGTTAAGAGTCATTAGAAATGACCGATTTTGTCACGGAATCTAATAGAGAACAATCTTAATAGGATAGGATGTTTTTTAAGTTGACGTCGTCTTGCATCTTATTACAATTACTATGTTGGGATTAGATTCTCGAAGTTTTAGAGCTATGCCTTCAGGATTTAGATTTACGCGCGTAAGATTTTTTAAGGCATAAACTTATCAGCAGTTGGAGAACACAATCATGAAAGGAATCCATAGAAATCTTTAAACATCCAAACAATCGTAGATGCAACTGAGTATGAGAGTCAGTTTTCCGAGACAATCTGTATGCCCTTCCTTTAGCTCCGCCCCTTAAACAGTATATATAACCAGGTACCGAGTAGTTCAGGTTGAAGTTCAAGTTCAATTTATCAACAACCGATAGAGGAGGAATGCAGTTGATTTGTAAGTCATATTTAACATAATTTTGATAATTCTTCTGTTTTTCGAGTGAGTTAAACGTAACAGCCATCTATAGGAAGATATACTATAGAATGGGAATTAAAAACATTAAAAGTGTAGTCAGCCGATATACAATATGTACCAACGTTCACCATGGAATATCAATATATGGCGTACCTATAAAAAGACAAGATTTTTGTGAAGTTTTTATTTTCAAAATCACCAATCAATCAATTCAGAAGATTTGTAAATGCTATTACAATGGGCTGTGAAAGTTTCTTTGAGAAATTATGTTAAATATGGTTATTGTGTAATAGATATTTTATATGCGGTGCGGATAAACGGTTTTGACCTAATGATAATATATACACCATCTGACGAAAACGAAGCAGCTATTTTTAGGATGCAGCGATGGAGTTGACAGCAATTTTTGAAGCAGCGATATTTTATTTCATTTAAATACATAATATATAAATAATTAATAAGATATCCATTGTCCGCATTACTGGATAGTAATAATCGGCATATTTGTCCAAACCTAAACACTGTTTAGGCGACAAGAAAATAACGTTTTGAGAATGGTTCAATCATTTACCTCGATGGCACATGGCTTCACACTCATTAAACTCCATCTAAAGGATGATAAAAAAGTGAATAGTGATCTTTTAGAAGTTTTAAATGCATTCAGTATAAAAATTTGACTCTTTAGCAATATTATGGCTCCCACCGTACTATCTGTGTCTTGAATCCTACAATCCTCAGGGATCACTAATTAACCTATTTTGTCCCAATGGTGCGTTAATACGCAACCTATTCTATGGTTTTTTTTGTCACATCAAGGAAATATTTTTGCACATCCATCTAGAAATTTTATTATTATCACTACCAAAGGGCATAAAACCGTAGAAATCGCTAATTTATGTGTAAAGGAAAGATCTTACATATGACTTCAAAAGTACATAAATTTACCACATTTTCAAGTAAATCCAAAATGGTAAAAAAATATTCTTTATTTGTATTGCCATTTTTGTTAAGTCTATAGTATATAGATTACATCGCAGAAAACTTTCATTGGAAATACTATACTGATTATACTTTATTTTTTGAAAATATTTACTGGTGCGTGAATGCACCACTGGTTTTATCTGTGAAACAAAACTTTGTTATTGCAAGTCTAAACAAGTCAGCGCATGTAGATTAAACATCCAACAATTAGCGCGTTTTTTAGTATTAGTTTGTGCCTTGTGCAGTGAACTTTGCAGTTCGTAAAATATGACATTTCCCAGGTATTTGACTCAAAAGGAATCAAAGGCGGCTATTGAGGAGATTGTGATGTATGAGGACAATAACAATGAAAGTCGTAAGTATTATTTGGATTTACGTATTCTTATGTATTGTAGCTTCAACAGTCCTGTAATTCATCAACTACTGAACCTGGATAGGACTCATCAGATGATAAAACCTTGGAATTCAAAAGAGGACGTATGCTTTCTGCAAACGACTGGCTTGCTTCTACTGTCAAATGGAAGAAAGGTCAGATTGAGTACACTCACACACCCATATCCGATGAATTTAGATCACGTGAGGAACTAAGAAATAGGCTTTCTCGAAAAACTCCGCTTGAAATGTTTTTTATTTTTTGAATGACGAAGTGATTGATTTGGTTTTAAATCTTGCATTGCTTTGCGACTTTTAAAAACTGATAAAACAATTACTTAAGGAAATCTTCCATCTTCCATAGAAGAGTGCGTTATGATAATCAAGGTCACCTCATGATTGTTCTTGCTAATAAAGCCCGAAGGAGATGTAGAATCTGCCACAGCCACACAATTTACGTTGGTCATAAGTATAATGTGCATTTATCTACTTCAAGCTTTGTAAAATATCACCAAAAATGAAACCGGGTGTTACCAGTCGTGCGCTCACGCACCATAAAATATTATGCATTTTTTGTATGAGGTCAGGTTCTATTTCGAAAATAATCTGCTTTTAGTTGTGTTCTGTCTAATTTGAGCTTTTTTTGTTATATTTATGTATAAATTATATGTTACATCTTATGTACCCCAAAACATTCAATGTCTTTTCCCAGTGACACATGTAATGTATTCTTAAGTGCAACAGAATAAATAATTTCACAGCAAAAAAGTATTTTTTTTATGCTTGGGATAATATGGGTTAACTAACCAAAACTAAAATTAGCTGTAAGTTTAGATTTAAGGTGTATATCATAATCGAAAAGTGTAAATAAATTCTTAGTAATATGTTCAGTCCAATTTTGCACTACATATTTTTACATTGCCCATTTACTAGTGCCAAGCTCTTCGCTAGACAATGAGAGCGGCGCAATAAGTTTTACAGCATTCACTGTTTTAACTGTGAAAGAACTGTATCACATAGGAACTGTCATAATTACAAAAAGTCACTTCGAGTGAGGGCTGCATTAAGGTGATTTGTGCTTCTATGAGAAATGATTAGTGCGATAGTTTTTCGACTGTAGTTTGATTTTGCAAGTATTGATAATATTTGTTCTTACCTGCATTGTGGTGTATCGTCGTCAGATAGTGATGCTGAAGGTTAGCATTTGAAGATCTAGACGCGAATGCGCAGCTTGGTAAATCTTGGACTTCGTCTTCGGACAAGTCACCCGTATTATAACCAAATTGCAAGCTGCAACGTAACCTTATAAAAATGCGATTGCATGGTCTGCTTGATATAAGTAACATGTGCGTTGTCAATCGCTGCTAAGGGCTCAGAACAGGTGTATGAAAAACAGGTTTGGCCAAACAAAAAAATATAAGGTACAGCCCAATATTTTTGAAAATAATACTATAGCGGAAAGCAGCATTCATTGCGAAAGAATAATAAACACACGTTACAAAAATTGTCAAAAGTTTCCAAGATCTTTAGAACTGTCTAGCAATTTAATTCAGTGTTTAAAAATTTATAAAATACGGGGCGGTTTCCTTTTTTCCAGATATAAAAAATATCCTCTAGGTAGGTGAATTTCTATTTTTGGGTTGATTAAAATACCGGAAGTAATATCGCATATCGGGAATATTATAAAGCAAGACTACTGCTCTATGCTGCATGATGATCAAGATATGAATCGTTATCGTTTCTTTGCTTAAATATGTTTGGTTTAATTTGAGTCTTAGTAAGCCGTACCCGGTTTTGCTTATTTGTTGTTCCTTTTTTTATGCGCATTATCATTATGTTATGGTAAGACAGCTTGATTTCCTAGTTTCTCAAATGAGAAGAAGTTTTTATTCATTGTTTGGTTTGTCGTGTTTCATGTATAGTTTTAGTACCCATTGTTATTGCGATTAAATAGTTTAACTCGAAAATATCCTTTATTAAAAACTGTAACTCTTTAAGTGAACGACAACAAATTTCAAGAAATAAGAGAAAAAAATATAATTTCAGAACACAAAAATTATTAAATTAACAAAAATATTTTTTGTTAATAAAAACGTATTATTATTAAAATAATGATGAAAGAAATTGTAATATTTGTAATAATGAACATAGATAATTAATAATAAATTAATTAATCAGCTTACTTTATAGGAGGTGAGGATGATGAGTCCGGCAGCTGTCCCCGACTCATATTCACTTGTTTCTAAAAATTGGTTTCACAAATGCGACACCTCACACCACCAATCACCAAAACCGATTCGTATGGACCATATATTTGCGGAAGTCACCCTGGGATTAGAGTGATAATAATCCCGCGGGACTTCCGGTTTTATACCATAACCCAACGATAGTCTATCAGCTCGTTATTCGTAAATTTTATATGGGCGGTTTTCATAGCAGAACTCAATATCGATTAGGGGAGGTAACTTAGAATACGCAGCCAACCACTGCGGCTCCTATAATTTATCATACGACTCGTGGTTCTGATTGGTGGGCCAAAATGCGAAGGGTCACATGATGAAGGGCTCATTGTCCAGGTTTGGCGGTGACAGCTTTCCCTGTAAACGCTAAAAGAACCTTCATCTGCAGACTCCCGATATTTATTAACCGGGATATCGCGTCCAGAGGGCTGGAATTATTTAGCGGGTTTTTCTGGTGCCAGCCATGTAAAGAAAAACGTGGACGGAGCGGGGTAGGTTATTTGAATTTTTACTTACCCTTGTTAACTAACATAACTGTTATTCGTTACAGTAAAAAAATGTAAATAATGTTAATAAAATAATTAATTAAGTAAACGCAAGGTGATCTTGATGTTTTTGCTAATCTCTGTAAATAAGTATTACTCTTTGCCTCTTCCGATTAGGAATCATCCCTCTCCTTCATTCTCCTTCCCTTTGGGGGAAGTTTGTTATACCTACTTCTTTCATCAGGAGTTTGAATACCGGTTTTAGCGAATTGAGTTCCTTATATATAGTAGTATATATACTCAACCCTTCAAAGTGACGTTCATATGTTTATTTAGATGGCCCTGTCCTATCAGCACTTCTATCGGCGTACCCTTATTCAGTATCGACATCTCTCAGCGAGATATTCTTCTTTGAAAATTCCACATCGTATCAACATTGACCTGATCAAGGGAGCAATTGAACACAGAATTTTTCAAAAATTTATATATGCGGGATTTTGTTCGTGTCGCTTAGGCATCCTGCTATTCTATTGCAGTTTGTTCTTTTATTTGATCCTCTATGTAATTATCATATCATATAATTACTCTAAACTTACATCTAATAAATTCTATAGAGATTACTAGTGATTTAGTTTTTTGGCCGATGTTTTCATGTTAAATTTGTTTCCTATACCAATACAGTATCGTCGGCGTAACACAACACTTGTATTTCTTTATTAGCCATTGTATACACTATTGTTATTAAATTACACTGGTCTGCAAATAAAAATGTTTCTCTCCTTTTTGTTTTCATGCATGAATTCATCTTATTTTATGCTGTAAACACGGAATCTGATATACAAATAAGTACCACACGTAGGTATTTAATTTAATATTTATTTCATCAAAAAACAATATTATTAAAGTATAAATTATTATAAGGAAATAGAAAAATGTGGCGGCCTGAGTTTTACAGTAAAAAATCCTAAATTATATTAACAAAACTAATAAATATCGTCAGGTATTTCATTATGGAGTGATAGAATTCAAATTATTTAGTAGTTTTCTTCCTCTTCATAGATTCCATTGGAGTTTCTCGGTGAATTGACCAACAGAAATCACCAAGCATTGCTGCTGACCATTTTCCATTGTAGCGTTTTTCAATTTGCATTATATCCTGATGAAACCTTTCACCATGCTCATGTGATACAGCTCCAGCATGGATTCGTGACTTTTTTCAAGCCAACCTCTCAACGTATAGCTTATAAGCTGTTTTAACCAGATCGGTCATGACATGTCGCTGTGTTTTTAGTATGTATTCCCCACAAATGTAGCGAAAACAATCTGAGGAATTTTTACAAGTCCGTGGCATTTTGTAACCTAAAATCACATAAAATTAATTTTAAAACAACTTTCAAACTTCTATTTTATATTTATTGGCTCTACTTAAAAAAAATACTCAAACTATACATCAAATACTTAAATCCAATGTAGAGAACATGAACTTTATGCAAAACGTACCAAAATATTTGATATAAAAGGTAAACAATTAAACGACAAGTGTTCACTGAACTGTTGTAGTGTCACAATGAATACTGCGCATGCGGGTATTTACTACCACATAAATCACCTTCGGCACTTCCCTCCGTTCTCTTACAACTCTCTGAAATTCATTTTGTATGTATATTTATTTTTTGTAACGTTGACGAATGAAAAAATTGAAAAAAAAAAAAAACAAAATTTTGAAATATAAAAAAAAATCATATTTCAGGATTTCATTGCCAACCAGTGTTATTAAATTTCTCTAATAAAGAATATAGACCAACAGTATTCAAACAAATATATAGAATCGACTTAAACATTATAATCCTGTTTTATTAAATCGGCCGCTTTTTCTGCTACCATAATTGTAGGAGCGTTCGTATGTCCCGATATCATAACCGGCATCACTCCAGCATCGACAACCCTCAATCCCCCAATACCGTGGACCTTTAGCTTAGCATCCACCACTGAATCAACGGTAGAATTCCCCATGCGCGTTGTTCCCACGGAATGGTACGACTGCAATCAAGGGGGTCTACTCCAATATTATGTCAGGTGACCACTTACCGAAGAGCCGAAGTTTCTAATGGCGCAGTACCACCAATCGTCAGAGAACCGTTCGAACTGTCCATCGCACGGTTCGGCCGCAGGATGGTCCATCCAAGCTTGGAATTCTCGGAATGCTTTTGTTTCGTTCAGCCGCTGAACATATTTGAAACCCTTCAAAAGGGTTTCGACGTCTTGTCCTTGAGCGTCGCCTAGGTAGTTTGGATCGATCAATGGTCTATCGATGGGATCTTTAGATCGGAGCCGTAGTGTTCCTTTGGATATCGGGTTCAATAAGCATACGAAAACTCTGATGTCGTGCACTACGTCCAGATCTTGCGAAAGACTGTAACGTTACATTATGGCTTAATATAAGTGGGAACGATAGAAAATTTGATATTTTTACTTGCTATTCAAGGTAGGCGCAGTCACAACGGTGTAGATTTCGATCTCTGGGCGAGAGGAAGTCGTCTCATCTGGATTTATGAAAGCCACGATATCAGAGAGCGCCGTTAAGGGTCGTTGGTCGTCAAGGTAGAGTTGTAGTTGCTCCCTCAACGATATGTTGAAAAATGTGTGGTTGGTTCTATATTGAAAATATCAAAAACGTCAACACCATGAATCTGGTTGATATTAGGTTATATGTTACCTGAATTTTAAAGTGAGATATGTAACCTGGTCTTGGAAAGTATTGCCTACTGGTAAATCTTCGACCACTTCAATGCCCAAATCATTTAAATGATCGCTCGGTCCTATTCCGGACAACATCAAAATCTGCGGCGAACCGATCACGCCAGCCGAGAGGATCACTTCTTTCGTTGCAGCGCTAAAGAAACGCTTTCCATTTTTCACAAACTCCAATCCGTACACCGTTTTAGTAGAGTTGTCGACGTATAGCTTAGTGACGAAACTACGCAAACTGACCGCTAGGTTGGTTCGCTCCAGTACAGGATCTAGGAAAGCTCTAGCAGTGCTCGCTCTCTGGTTATTGTTTAGGGTGTACTGTACTTTCGAGACTCCAAGCTGTTGTTTTCCATTGTAGTCGACTTTTTCCACTCCAAGTTCTGCGAACGCTTCGAAGAATACTTCGTCCTGAAATCGTTTTCCAAAATATCACTTCCAGTAAAGTATTTTTAAAACTCACTAATCCAGGCGTCTCGCCAGTAACATTGACGACCAAGGGACCTTCGCGGCCATGGTAATCCTCATCATCGACTTCAAACGCAACGTTTTCAGACTTTTTAAAGTAGGGCAGTACTTCTTCGTAAGACCATCCCGGATTTCCCAATTCCGCCCATTGGTCGAAATTTAACGGGTTACCCCTAGTATAAAACAATCCATTAATGGAGCTTGATCCACCGATCACCTTTCCTGCGTGATGCGTGCAGCGATTGCCAGTTCCAAATCCTAGAGCGACGTTATCTCTAATTCAAAACATTAGTCGAAATGCTGGTCTTACCTTGGCATAGGTTGTCCTGTGGAGTACTTAAATGTGCCCAGTTCATGTCAGAGTTAAATAAATAACTCGCCATTGATGGAATTACGTTAAAGTCATTATCATCACCTCCGGCTTCCAATAATAGAACGTTCCATTCGTTAATCTCTGTAAGGCGACTTGCTAAAACTGCCCCAGCCGAACCACCTCCAACTATGATGAAGTCGTAAGTTCCATAATCTAGAATAAGTTTCTAAAGAGTGTCTCAATGTAAGTCTTGTTGTCTTTAAGTTGCATATACATATAAATATTGTTATCGGGTAGACCCACCCATCGATGGTATTCATAGGTAAGTAATAATAATAATAATAATAATAATAATAATAATAATAATAATAATAATAATAATAATAATAATAATAATAATAATAATAATAATAATAATATTAATAATAATAATATTAATAATAATAATATTAATAATAATAATAATATTAAAACAAACCTAACCAAAGCAAAGAAAAAAAAATACAAAACTCAAAACCAAAAAAAAATCTATCTTTTAATGGCAGTGCTGGCGTTATCGATATTACAACAAATACAATGAAACATATACATTGATTTAAAGAGTGAACTTTTAACCAAAAATTGGGAGTTGGTAGATGAAATATTGGAGATGTTTTGACTGTCCGGTTTGTGATAACAAATCTGCATTTTAAATAAACCTACATCTACATAATTGAAATAAAAATTTAACTGCTTCGCTACGATTAAAGCCGATATATGAAAATGCTTCAATAGAACATTATGATCAAACTATCTCTGTTGAAATATACAACTTAAAACCCAAAATTTTTCAAAAATGATATGTTTATAACTAAATAATATATTTATTAGAAATAGGCTGTCATATGACCCCAAATTCAGCTTGGTAAGGCACAAGACAAGCACCAAAGGCCCAGATTTACCGTGCGTTATGAAAAAACTTACCAATTTTTTTGTTATATCGTATTGAAATCACTTGTCGCTAGAAGCACAAGAAACTATGAAAAATGCATATGAATGTTTAATAAATATAGAGGTTTTATTAAATAAGAATCTTTAAAAGAAATATATGTATAATGGTGATTTTCAAGCTCGCTGTAGGGGCAACAGGGAACAAGATATGAAATGATACTCTAAAAATGAAGCCAGAAGATGTTGAAATTGATATATAGTCTGTACGATTTGCAATGGCAGTCTTTCATAAAACCAAGAGAGTCGCTTTTTTGAAAAACTGCTGGCGAAACTCGTCCTTAATTATTACGGATACTGCATGATATCATTTTAGAAAATTGGAATAGTTGTATAACATATATAGTTAAAACAAAAAAAGATTACACTTGATATAACTCGTTATTAATGTAAACGAAGGATCCTTTTCTGGTAGTAGCAGTTCCGATTTAGACTCCGATGATGAAGATGTTTCATCGTCAATACAAACTAAATATATGACAAATTATGCTCATATATTTTTTATTTTCCGATTTTTTGGTATTGGTATTGGTATTGCTATTGATGGAGTTTTCGGACAATAGATTATTTAATAAATTATAATTTTTCCATGCAGATTCACTATTTAAATATTCACATATATCTCCAACTGTGGGCGTACAAATTAAATTAATAAATTCCAAATACAACTGATTCTGTCTCTCTTACTCCCAAGCAATATAATCGAGATCGTTAGTAACGGCTGTCTTGCATTGATCAGATAAACATTTCGGGTAGAATAACATCTCTTGAAGCATAAGTAGAAGTAAGATGAACAATCTATTCTATTCCGTCTGGCATTGTATTGCCGACTATCATAAATCGTCCCGTTTATAATAATCAGCCGTACCACCCCTCCGTGGAATATTTTATAAAATGGAATTTAAATACCTCAAAATAATATATCATATATCATATAGTACCTTAAGGAATCACACTGACTGTGCACTTATAATTACCTTCATGAAATTAAAAAGTATTGATTCGAAAAGAGTTTTATAATTTAGCACCCTCAAGCAAGCACTCAGCAAGGACGAGTCGGTTCCAGTAAAAACTGTCAAACAAATCGCCATAATTTGTTTGAAACTGCTTGTTGTTCCTTCGAGTATTGTTATATTAATAGTCATGTATTAATAGTCAATAGCACTAGAATGAAAAAACCTCGACACAAGACATATACAAATAATAGTAAAACTATATTTAAACCAAAGTGCGTCGATTCACGTCCAATCTGAAATGACGAAAGCAGTGGAAATCAAGCGAGGAGTTAGACAAGGGTGTGTTCTTTCACCACTCCTCTTCAACGTCTACTCAACAACTCAACAATCTGCGTTACGCGGATGATACAGTACTTCTCGCCGAAAACATGCAAGACTGCAGAATATGTTAAATAATGTCGTCAAAACTAGTCGAGAATATAATAATATATAATAATAATTTTTTCTGTATCAATTCCCGAATTATTATTCATAATTTTGGTTGGGTTTAAATACCATATACACAGGTTACACACTTAACAGGTGAGGTAAGTGACAAGTTTATCTCAGATTTCGTAACAACACTCAAGGAAATATTTTGCCATTGAAAATATATTTTTTAAAAACTGATTGGGGCAATTTTCAAAGCAGATATCGATTTATTAAAAAATTGTTATTGGTGGTATGGAATATGTCAAGGGAATCGTCTAGCTAGTAGTCTTTTTGATAATTTCACTGAACAGCAAAAAATATATCTTCTTTCGCGCTCATTACAATAAATTCCAAAACCAAAAATTAAAATGAATTAATCATACTGTGTACAGTATGTATTCGGTATACGAGTAATATTGAATGTCTCTTGCCCTATTCATATTTTTAACCGTCTTCTATATCAAATAACATGATTCATCTAGAAACAAAACATTATAGTTCTTTTATAGAGCCACATAGTGGAAAATCGAAAGGACATAAAGCGAGCAATCTGGATGGCCTGTTCATTAACTCTTTTAAAGTAACAATAGCAAGAAAGCCAATGAAAATGGACATGGAAATGCATATAAAAATTAATAGTACAGAACTTTTGCATCACTGAAATCATTGGTTGATAAATTCTGGGCACCCATTGGAATTAAGTATCGGGAGACCTGAAGAAATCTACTGTCGAGTTCTCTCAGAAATTCATAAATGAAAGAAATATTATTCAAGGTATTCGAACGAAGTGTGAGATATTTATTTAATGCGATCTATTTCTCGGTAAAATAAATTCTTACTGAAATATAAAAGATGCCTTCCAGTACCCTGGATACATAAGAATATAAAATGGAGATACAATTATTAGTAATTCTTGTGGTTATTTATTGAGGATGATGTGAACTATATCTTTGAACTTCTTATTTGCTCGGGATAGTTTGTTGAATAATTTGGCTATTTGTAATTTTAAGAAATGAAAAAATAGTAAAATTGTTACTTACCGTGGATTACCGTATCGGTGACATTAAGTAATTCGCTATTGTCCCTCGGCACGGTATAATTCTGCGAAGAGGTAATATTATCCACAACCATCTCGTAATAATCATCAAAGCTGGCATAGCCGCCGAAGTCTGCGGCTACCAGCCGCATTAAGTACACCAAAAATCCTAACCTGGAGATCATGCTAACCTGGTGGTTTTGTCGATATTCTAAACACCTAAGTACTCAAAAATGCCTTTAAATAAAAATATTTAATTTTTATCTCACGAACCTAATTTTATCACGATTTTATTTATTTATCTACTCGAGAATTTTAGCTCTTAGCAGGATTCATTTTTTTGATGTATTCGGAGTGATATCACTGTTATGAGGCAGCCATTAAAAGAAAAAGCTACCACTTGGAGTTTGAGGGCCTAACTTTACTAACCAAGTTCTTATGGCAAGCCCAGTATAACACATTTGGTCAACTTAAAGTACGGGTTAGGTCGAAAATACTATTAAAATAGTATAGAATTTCTTTTTTTTATCTGTAACCTAAATCCTCTTTAAATTGACGAAATCTGTATGGTACAAAAGCAAGCTCATGAAAGCTTTTAGAACTTTGGTACTGAAGCAATTTAACAAAGTAAAAATACACAATTAACGCAATTTTAATAATTTTAACAGGTATGGTGTCATTATCGGACCAGCTCGTTGAAATGTTACGGATCAGATTGACAACTTGCTTGATACTATTTGACTTTTTCAAAAAAACCTTTTTCAGACTACTGTGATACTTTTTATGCCATCTTTTCAATGCCTCTTCCTTTTTCCCGCTCGCCGTCATACTTTGAACATGTCCATACCACCTTAGCTGGTTTGTTCTTATTTCGTCTGTTATTGTGTGGCTCACTCTCATGATTGCGTGAATCGTTTCGTTTAGGGTGTTTTCGAATCTCGATCTCCCTGCCGCTCTCCTCCAGAAATCCGTCTCTATTGACTATAGTGTTCTCATGGTCTTTCCTTTGAATTGCCAAACTTCACAATTATATGTGACTATGCTTTTTACAATGGATATATATATAACAAATGCTTGTTGCATCTTGTGATTTTTTGGTCCCACAGAATGCTATTTAGCATAGTAATAGCTCTTCTGCCTTGAGTATTCCGGTCTCTGATTGCTCAGTCTAGGGTTCCACCGTCTGAAATATTCATTCCCAGGTATTTGTAGCTTTCGTTCTAGGTCCCATTTCTTGTACTCTTCAATTAGCTTTCGAATCAAGTATTGTACACCGTCGTTGTCTTGGGTCATTATAATCTGATCGCCTGCGAAATTCAGGGTATATAGGTTTGTGTTTGCGTGGCGTTCTTCCATATTTTTAGTGCCTGTTCGAGATATATATACAAAGTGCGTGACAAGCAGCATCCTTGTTTACGTCCCCTATTCCGTGCGAATCCGTTGGACGTTTTATTTTTGACTTTGACTTTAATCTAAGAGTTCTTGCGCAGATTTTATTAGGTTGGCGTTTAGATTTGTTCGATTTAGTGCCTGCCATAGTTTTTATAAAGCTATGCTATCGTACGCTTTCTTTAAATCCGCAACCAGGAGATGTATTTCCCGACATTTCGCGCTAAATGAGAACTGTGTTAACTGCCCTAAACTTGGAGATACCAACTTTAAATTTAGCAGAGAAGTATAAGTCCGTGTCCACATTTAAACGGTAGAGATTGGGCGCAATCAAGTTTTACCAAGTAATTTTAGCTTCCAAATATGTTTTCCTCCATAACCGTGCATCCGATTGGCAAAATTCTTTAACCGACAGACGCAGAGGGTCCAGTGCAATAACATTTATTTCGGGCATTTTTTCGATTTTATGCAGGGTTTTCAAATTATAGGCAAAAATCTAAAAGACTTAGAAAATTGTTCTTTTACATAGTAAATTACTAGCAGCAAATCAAAAATCGTAAAAAATATGGCTAATTGGTTCAAACGGTGTCATAGGCCGCATCAAGAGCTACAATTTTTGTATTTGCGGTTCTCGTCTATCACATACGCTGCTCGGGATATTTGAAAAAAACCATATTGAAATCGTTTTTTCGGGGGCTGTCAAGACGCGATGACGTCATTGATTATTACGGCGCGCTGCATGGTTTCAGAAAAAACTTATTTTCTCGAAAACCTTGTACTATTTTCAAAAAATTCTTGAACCAGGAAACGTGGAAAATCCAGGGCTCTAACTCTATTTCGAACAATGATTGAATCATATACAGGGTATTGGGTTTATGGGCAAAAAATCTAAAAATCCTAAAAATTTCCGTTTTTTTGAGTAAATTATTGGCGATAAATGAAAAACCGTTAAAGATGGGATATTTCTATTTGAACAGTATCGTAAACCGTATCGTGAGAGAGTTTCAGGTTTCATCGCGAGATATAAAAATATCATTCGACAAAATTTAAAATTTATCCATGTCAGCAGAAGCACGATAGAAAAACAATACGTCCCTTTACCACACGAAACCGCTAAGTTCTTCGCTTTTATGACGATTTTTCGAAAGCAACCTTGTTCTTCTGCTTCGCTGTCTGTTTCTTTGAAAAAATAATTTGCCCATACTTTTGATTTTGAACAGATCGTCCTAAATCCCACAAGATGCTCAAAAGATTATTCCAGCTTGATTGACATTATCATTTTGTCTAATATTGGTCTTTTAAACGGGAGCGTACAACATCGAGACATGCATAGTCATTTTGATCACACTTAATTTAAAAATTCCACAAATACCACCAGAGTTCGTTAAGTGTAGGCACCTAAAGCAACTTGATAGAGAACGGTTTGATGCTACCCTACTCGATGTGAACTGGGATGAGATTTTTTATGGTAACGGAGAAAATGTTGGCGTTTTTTGATCTCTACGCTCCTATTTGTACAAAATCTCCATCGCAACCCATCCCAATCTAAAAATTTACAAGTTTGAGAAAATTGTGAAGAAACTAGAAACTTATTTACTTTTGTGGTACGATAAGAAAAAAAAGCCTAATCGCACGGAGACTTCAAAAAAATATGGCGAACTCTCGATCAATTAAATGTTTACAAAAGATCAAAGAACTCCGTGAGACTAATTTCGCATTCTCCAATAGTAGTATTTATACCCCTTTTCACCATCCCCCGCCGCCGGGGGAGACCTTGAGATAACAAATTTACGATTCTCAACCAACCCAAAAAAAATATTGGTTTGACCAGTGTACGAGAGATGTCGCGCATTAATAGCTCAGGTTTTGGTCGCCCGATGTCACCCCTAATATGGGTAGGGGGTAGTTTTAGTGTTAGTGCGTTTTTGACAATTTTTTTTGCCCTCTATACTTAACGTCGCGGGAGGCGCGTATAATCTATGTAAATAAAGCACACACACACCCAGATTTTTTTTTCGCTGATTAAATCAAAAACTACATCGAAAAAGATATTTAATGGTACTCACATCGAACAAATTGTTTTATTAAACATGTATTATATACAAAACGATATTCATAAAAAAAATTATCACTTTTAAGATTTAACTTTTTAAGCTTGGCACATATATACATACATAAACTTACATAAATTAAACACAAATATTATACAAAACTATGTCCTTAATCTAAAGCACAATCAGCTCAAGGAATCGTACCATATTGGTTTGCCAAAAGAAATAGCTGCCCTGTATGTCACTAATTCTCCCGCTGCCCTTTGTAATATGCAAAATTTCGATGGCCCCAACTAGCGTGTACTCTGAGCCCGGTATAAGATGTCGTTTGTCATCCGCGTAAGACAACGCCACCTTATTTTTCAGTTCGACGTACATATCATGTAGATGTGAGCGAAACACATTTACGCCCCCGTACCTAAGAATTTCCACAACGGCCGTCCCGCGTACTCGTCCTTCATTTTACCAAGAACAGACTTGTTAACGCCGTGTTTGTTGTTGTCCGAGTAATTAGATGTATCGAATCTGTCCAAATTCTCTCTCATGTCATAGTAGAAATTTTCGTAAAAAATTGAGGCTGTCGGTATCAGTGTAGGCTTTGTCAGCGTATTCGGCTTTTAGCTGTAAAAATGCAAAATCCGGCGTAGATAGGCTTATCATATACTTTAGTACTCTACATTTTTCCGTATGGCGCCATTTTTAAAATTAGGTCTCGCGACTAACGCTTCTGCCCTCAACCTTTCACCAATATTGTCCCGATGGGAAACGAGCCCCACGTACACCCTTTTGTCGACGTTTTCCATCAATTTTAAAACACTGCATTATTCATAAGTTGGAAAAAATCTTTTTTCGGATCCGATCGAGCTTCAAACCATTTCTTATAACTTGTAGCAGATTTCTATAATGCAATACATAATTACGTTTGTTGTTTAAATCTGGAATAAGTTTATTGTTAACCAAGAAAAATGTTATTCGTAACAGTAAAAAGATAAAAGTGATGGGTGTTTCTATCAACCTTATAATTTCATTGATACTCTCAAAACGCAAGGTGATCTTGCTCTTTTTGCTCACCTCTGTAAAAATTGTAATCGTATTCCTCTTCTGATTATCCCTGTCCTTTTTGCTCCTTCCCTTTGGAGGTAGTGGGTTATACCTACTTCTTTCATCGGGAGTTTGAATTCTACAGCCAAATTATAACGGATGTTGGGATAATACTTCAGTTTTAACTAATAGAGTTCCTGATAAATATTAGTATAGTGCCGTTTCCACAGCCTACATATGACGTCTTCGACAACGCTTCCAAAGTTTTTTTAGATGGCACTGCCCTATCAGGAATTCTATCAGAGTATCCTTATTCGGTATTGACATCTCTCGGCGAGATATTCGTCTTTGGAAATTCCATATCGTATCGACATGGAATAATTACAAATTTTAATACTCAAAAATAGTGAACCTCCTTAGCGAAAGACCTGATTAAGGGAGCAATTGAACACAGCATTTTTCATAAACTTCTTTAATGCAGAAGCTAGACCAAAATTATTCAACAAAAATATATAATTGACTTAGATGTTATAATCCTGTTTTATTAAATCGGCCGCTTTTTCTGCTACCATAATTGTAGGAGCGTTCGTGTGTCCCGATATCATAACCGGCATCACTCCAGCATCGACAACCCTCAATCCTCCAATACCGTGGACCTTTAACTTAGCATCCACCACTGAATCAACGGTAGAATTCCC